AGTGAGACTGTCTCAAAAAACAAAGAAAACAAAAAAAACCTCTCTTCCCCCCCAGTCCATCTGCATCTCATTATTGGGCGGCACCGTACTTACCGTGCCTAAAGAATAAGTTGGCCCTGAGCCTCTTTACCTGTCTACATATTACCTGTCTTCATATTCCTTAGCATAGGTGGGCTTCTCAGCAACATGACTTTGCATATGTGGGACTAGAACCCAGCCTTTGGGCAGGTGGAACGCAACAATAAGCTTGTGACCTAGAGATACAGGTCTCAGCTCTATAGCTTCCTATACTCAGCTTCATCCGCAAATTAGCATTGAGATGGTGAATAACAACGTTTTAGAAATGCTAATAATGTAAACGCGATCGATCAGACTACTTCAGGAAAACCCCTCCTATAGCTCGCGCTCCGTCTCTCCTCTCAAGCCCCAAGCCCACAATTTGTCCCGGCTCCCTCCGGATCCCACCAAGGTCACCCTCGAAGCGTCCTCTCTTTACTCGCCCTGCACCCGCTTCACGCCCGTTCTCCCAAGGCCAGCACCCACCAACAGCCTTCGGAAAGCCACGAGTGAGGAAGCCCCCAAATCCGAGTCGAGTGCCAAGGGAGCGGCCAGAAAGCGCTGCCACCGCAGTAACCGAAACCCGTCGCAACAAACTCATGCCCGCCATGGCTACTACGAGCAACAGGAAAAATGGGGGCGGGTCACGGAAGCTGAGAGAGCCAATTTACCAATGAGGACAAAGCCAGGAAGTGGCCATCTTAAGTGAGGGCAAGTTTCTAGTCCCTTCACGGCCGGCTTGAGACGCCGGAAGTGACGCCATCGTTGGCGGAAACGCGGTTTGCCTAGTTATGCGAAAACATGGCTGCGGCAGGTTTGGCCCTTCTTTGTAGGAGAGTCTCAGCTGTCCTGAAAGCTTCCAGGTCGTTAATAACTCCTCAGGTCCCTGCCTGCACAGGGTAAGTGATGTGTAAAGTAGGTTTGCCCACCTCTCCAACTCTGGATCTTCTTTGGTTGCCGAGATGCCGAGAACAGTTCAAGAATGGAAAGGCCGCCTGGATGGCAGAGCCGGAGCCCACTTTGGTGAGGAGTGAGTGACCTTGGAGAAGTCGCCCACCTCCGACATTTCTATTTCTTCCTCATTTTGTTGCTGCCCGCTGCGGACAAGACAGTATATGGGGTTTGTAGATGTCCAGAATTTGTTCAAGTAAATAAACCTATAAGTACAGAAGCATCCTGTTGGGCTGGGTGAGGTGGGAAAAACTTTACCTAAGATGTTTTTGTTATGATACTCAAGTCTGTGTCAAGTTTGGATGGTTTAAAAAAGAAGAGGTGTTTGTATTTACAGAATGTGTTACAATGAAAGTAACTGGTAACTTCGTAACTTCTTTGATTTTTTTTTTTTTTGGTTCTGGATCCAGTGAAGGATCATTTATTACATTGGTTGCCCTGACTCTTTAGTCTTTAATCCGGAACAATTTCTTTTTTTCTCTGTCTTAATGTTGTTGACATTTTGATGAGATTAGCTTTTTAAGAATCTCTCTTCTTTTGGATTTTTCTGATTGTTTCCTCATGATTAGATTTAGGCTAAATATTTTTGGTAGGGATACAACACTTGTGATAAACTTCATTATTTAGTTTCAGATCATCTCAGGTCATTAACTATTTTTTAAAAACAGGAATTTTGAATTACTGCATAATTTATCCAGATGCACAACAATTTTTGAACCATTCTCAGCTGCACATTTACATAATTAAAAACTTGATATCCTATATAGTGCTTTAATAAACATCTTAATTTACAAATTCCCATCTATGATAATTTCTTCAGTTGAAATTTCTAGATGTAGAATTACTGAGTTAAAGGAGGAAGTATTTGAGGCTCCTGATACATGTTGCAGAATTGTGGGGCTTTTTTGTTTTTGTTTTTTGAGACAGGGACTGACTCTGTCGCCCAGGCTGGAGTGCAATGGTGTGATCTCAGCTCACTGAAACCTCTGTCTCCCAGGCTCAAACCATCCTCCCACCTCAACCTCCCGAGTAGTTGTAACTATAAGACACGTGCCACCACTCCTGGCTAATTTTTGTATTTTTGTTAAAAGACGAGGTTTTGCCATCTTGCCCAGGCTGGTCTTGAGCTCCTGGACTCAAAGTGATCCTCCCACCTCGGCCTCCCAAATTTCTGGGATAACAGGTGTGAGCCACCATGCCCAGCCCACATGTTGCAAAATTGACTGCTCTTTTTACCTGTGCTTGCACCCATTAGCAATGTAAGAAGGACCCAAAAATGTTACCTTAAAATATAATTGTGTTAATATGTTACCTCTGAAATTATAAGGTAGCAGCTTCTATAATGCAATATTGAAAATACTTTCTAAAGCATTTTCAAAATTTATTGTGACCAAGCATGGTGGCCCATGCTTGTAATTCCAGCACTTTGGGAGGCCAAGGTAGGAAGATCACTTGAGTCCAGGAGTTCGAGACCAGCCTGGACAACATAGTGAGACCAAGTCTCTAAATAAGAAAAAAAAAAAAATTAATTCTTGTGCAGAAACCCTGAGTAGCTTTTTAAAACATTATAGATGACAAAATGATTATATTTATTATGATAATGTTTGCTGCTTATAAAATCCAAATATTATAAAACTTTACTTGTTTATATGTGTTCAATTGCAGGTTTTTTCTTGGTTTGTTGCCTAAGAGTACACCAAATGTGACATCCGTTCACCAATATAGATTACTTCATACCACATTGTCAAGAAAAGGACTAGAAGAATTTTTTGATGACCCAAAAAACTGGGGGCAAGAAAAAGTAAAATCTGGTGAGATACTTGGATTTGTCAACATTAAATATATTTATGGAACCTCCCCCCATCATTCTAGGATTATTTATCCAGTTTAGGAATTATTTAGATGTTTCCTTTTTCAGTTTTCTTTGAGACTGTCTACTAGAGAAAATTAAAAGAATCATATAATAGTAGAGTTAATTGTTCCTTGGCAGATTGGCAAGATGGTTAGAAAAGGAATAGGTTGAAATTACTAACTTAGGTAAGGTTTAGGGCTTATTTTAGATTTTATTTTTTAATGATAATTAGAAGTTTATTTATTTATTTAGAGATGGAGTTTTGCTTTTGTTGTCCAGGCTGGGGTGCAGTGGCACAACCTTGGCTCACTGCAGCCTCTGCCTCTCGGATTCCAGTGATTCTCCTGCCTCAGCATCCCAAGTAGCTGGGATTACAGGCATGTGCCACCATGCCCAGCTAATTTTCTATTTTTAGTAGAGATGGGGCTTCACCATCTTGGTTAGGCTGGTCTTGAACTCCCGACCTCAGGTGATCCCCACCATCTTGGCCTCCCAAAGTGCTGGGAATACAGGTTTGAGCCACTGCCCCCGGCCAAAAAGTTAACTTATAATGACATAAAGTATTTTGTCATTAGGGTGTGAAAATACATTCTGTACTAATGCTAACATTTTTTGAATGCTATTGCCAATCATGTTAATGTTATTTTCATATGTTACCTAATTTATCCCTAATTACACATTATGTTATATACTGTAAAAAAGGTATTATATAGTTTACAGGTAAGGAAACAGGTTTAGACAGGTTTAGAGAGCTTAAATAATTTGCCAAAGGGCACATGGCTAGAAATATTATTTCATGTTATGTATTATTTTAATAGGAGCAGCATGGACCTGTCAGCAACTAAGGAACAAAAGTAATGAAGATTTACACAAACTTTGGTAAGTATAGTAAGTACATTAATATCTAGACGTTTGAAGCAGTTATAGTGTAACAATGAGGTAAAAACTAAATCTGATATAGGAAATTGAGTAAAGTGATTTGTTTTGTAGTATTATGGATGATAAATCTGATATTTAAGATCATGAAAGATTTTATATGACAGAGGTTAGATTATGACAAATGTCACAGTTCTCAAGTGGTCGGGAATTCAGAAATTTTACTGTGATTTACATTGGTCCCACTAACACCTTTATACTAGCAATTTCAGTCAATTAATAAAATGAAACGGGGAACAGTTGGTTGCTTTTGTTTTTTTCTTTGAGACAAGGTCTCGCTCTGTTGCCCTGGCTGGAGTGCAGTGATGCAGTCGTGGCTTACTGCAGCCTTGACCTCCTGGGCTCAAGTGATCCCCCACCTCGGCCTCCTGAGTACCTGGGAGCACAGGTATGCATCACCACACCCAGCTAATTTTTTTGCATTTTGTGGTGAGGGAGTTTCCCTATGTTGCCCAGGCTGGTCTCACTGGGGCTCAAGTGATCCTCCCACCTCGGCCTCCCAACATCCTGGGATTACAGGCGTGAGCC